GACGTTGTAATAAAAAAGTAAAAACTTGTTCATGGTAAAAAAAAGTCTGATAAACGTGGTTGGAACTCTCAGGATGAAACCTGTAAGTTTTAAACAAGTAAAAGAAGAAAATAAAGGTAAAAAAGTAGCAGGAAAAAAAAATGAGTTTCTGTCAAACATTCACTATGTTTTTTGTTCTTTTTCAAACTGACTGGTTACAAAACGAACTTCGATTCTGCTTTCATTAAACCTATGGTTTAAGGTAAAAAAAGAATACTTGGTTATGCCCAAAAGGCGAAAAAAGGAGCAACATCCTGCTAATTTGACAGTAGAAATGATGTATACACGTAAGGAAGAATCTGGAGCATACTATAATGAAATGATAAGTAACTGTGTTGTTGACAAGTCGAAAGGAACCGCTGAAAATTAAAATTGGATGCTTAGATCTTCAATAGAACATAGTATTGATTCAGGAAGTAATGAATATAGAAAATACTTTATTGTAAATCAGCATGCAGGGAACAGTGAACATAAAAACAGAAAACAAATATATTGGTAGAGAAGGCTAAACAGAAAACTACCTATTGTACAGGGAGCGCTAGAAAGAAAAACTACGAACAGTTTATTTGTAGTTAAGCACAAAGCTACACAATGGACTACTTGTGGTCTGTCCACCACGCGTATCGAAACCTGGTTTCTTAGCGTTCTAGGTCCGCAGACATACCGCTGTGCCACTGGGGGCAACTACGAACAGATGCACACTACAAAACATAAAACTATTGACAGAGCATACAGTGGACATGAAACTATCTGCAGCTGACATTGAACATTAAACATTAAGGGTACATTAAACAACAACATCAAAAATAAAACTATTCACCTAGAAAAAACAGAAAAACTATCTACAATGGTATATTGAACAGGCAATTTCCTACAATGGACGCTGAACAGAAACTACAACCTACAGAAACTACCCACGTAGATAAAACAGAAAAACTATCTACAATGGTATATTGAACAGGCAATTTCCTACAATGGACGCTGAACAGAAACTACAACCTACAGAAACTACCCACGTAGATAAAACAGAAAAACTATCTACAATGGTATATTGAACAGGCAATTTCCTACAATGGACGCTGAACAGAAACTACAACCTACAGAAACTACCCA